TCAAGAAAGGCAAGGACCTATATCCAAAATTACTCTATCTAGCAAAGTTATCATTTGGAACAGAAGGACAGATAAAGTGTTTCCTAGATAAGGTCAAGTTAAAGAAATTCATAATCACCAAGCCATTAGTATATGAAATGTTAAAGGGACTTAACTAAGAAAAAGAAGATAAAGAACTATGAACAGTAAAATGACAACAAACTCACAACTATCAACAACCGAACCTAAAAAAAAACAAAAACAAGAATGAATTAAGCAAACGACTAGAACAGGAATGGATTCACAGAAATAGAGATCACATAGAGGGTTATCAGTGGGGATGGGGATGGGGGTGATTGGGGGAAAAGGTACAGGGAATAAAAGGCATAAATGTTAGGTACAAAATAGATAGGGGGAGGTTAAAAATAGTATGGGAAATGGAGAAGCCAAAGAACTTATATGTATAGCCCATGGACAGAAACTAAGGCAGGGAAATGATGGTGAGAGTGGGGTACAGGGTGGAGGGGAATAAAGGCGGGGAATGGGACAACTGTAATAGCATAATCAATAAAATATACTTTATGCTAATAAATATATTATGCTAATAAAATATAATTAATAAAATATATTATTATTTTTAAAAATAATATAGGAAATGGAGAAGGCAAAGAACCAAATGCATGACCCGTGGACATGAACTAAGGGGGAGATTGCTGGATAGAAGGGGTGTATTGGGGTGGAGGGGGGCAAAGGGGAAAAATTGGGACAACTGTAATAGCATAATCAATAAAATATATTTAAAAATTGTAAAATCACTATATTGTACACCTGAAACTCATGTAACCAATATAAGACTGCATATCAATTACTTAAATAAAAAAATAAATTAAAAGAAAACAATATGATGACTCAAAGTCACGATTCCTATATCAAAGAGTATGAGCATTATGAGCCTCTGTTATAGAAACTTTCACTTCTTACCTGCATTCCTTTGTTTAATGTTACTAATAGCCCCATTCACTGAGGCCTTACACAGTACCTGAATCCTGAGCTTCAGAGACCCCAGATTGGGGGCCCAGGAACCATTTCCCAAACCCCTTCTAGTGGTGACACTTTAGTGTTTCTGGGCTTACATTTCTGCCCTATTGAGCTTGTGTTCCTGTCATTATGGAGCCTGGCCCTGCCTGCTGCATTTGGTTGATTTTCTTGGAGCTTTGGACATAGGCCCTGTTTGTTTCTCTCCCTGGCAGGGAGTCACGTAGACAGGTGGAGGGCTGGTATGAGTCCCATGGGCTGGGTAGGAGGCAGGGCAAGCCTGGTCATGTAAGGACACATAGGATATGTCCTTAATCATATTTGAGAGTGAGGGCCACAGTTGAAGTCAGAAGAATGAGCAAGTAGGCATTATATGTGTGTCTATGGTGGGCAGGTGCTGGGAGCAGAAGTACAAAGGCAAGGGTTCTCACAGCATGGAAGAAGAAGACCAGGAGAGAGCACAGTGGAAATCTGGCTGACCCCTGGAGACCAGGGCTGCAGCTTGGCCCAGAGGTTGACAAGTTCTTGGTAGAGGTTGAGGTGGATCCTTTCACAGATATGTTGGCATTGAAAGGCACACCTGGCTGTAGGGCTTCCAGGTGTATGCATGGGAACCAAACCTAGGAGGATCCAGGGATATGGGATTTCATAATCGATCAAAAATCATTCTGAAAATCAATTCAGAGTTGTCAGTATTTTATTTTTCCAAAGGTAAACATTATTTTTATAGACCTGTTACCTATGCTCCTTATCCTTTCTTTAGAAAGGGGGAAATATTTGAAAACCCCACAAATTGCATTTGGCTTTTGCAAAATATTTTGTTGGCCTAATTTTGTTCACATGGATCTAGACTAAAGAAGGCCCCCAACCTTCCATAGACCCATGCTGGCCATTTCTGCCTCAGCAGAGGCCCTGCAGCCCTCTGTCGAAACAGCTCGTATATCAGGGAAGGGAACAATCAGTCAGAAGAAACCTCACAGGAGGGAGATACAGAGAAGCAGACTTTGGCCCCAACTCAGAGACATCTTCCCTATCAGCAGACTCATCCACTAATAAAATAGCCTTCCTCTGTGAAGAGCATTCACCTGTGTGAGAAGGGTTCGGGGAAACTGAAGACAACAGTGTGAGAGTTCTGCTTGGGGAAGATGCTTTGATTCAAACAGGAAGAAGTTCCAAAAAATTTCTTCAGCCTAATTAACTGTAAGAACCCCTGTGTGTAATACTCCCTGCCTGTCTATAGTCTCCAGGCTCCTTATTAAGGTGAATCTGGGAAGCAAGACCCCCTCACATCAGACTGCTCCTCGAATTTCCCAGGAACCTGGTTTCCCCTGTCCCTAAGAAGTTGCCATGTGGATGGAACAGGCCGGCCTTTGAGAGCTGAATGGGGTTGCTACCTTTGGTTATAAATCAAAGAAGCCTCTGGGCCTCCATAACATGCACAGGGGAGTGGCATGGTGGTCCTCTTGCTCAAACACTGGGGCTCCCTGTCTCATCAGGATCAAGTCAATGTGGAGGTTGGAAGTGGCCTCCAGACTGTCTCTGGGACTTGGAAAACCAAGATGCTGACCACTCACATGCATTCAAGATCAGTTACATCATTTCTGGGGCCAAGTACAGAATAAAAATGCAGGATCCTTGTTCAAAACTGTTGTAAGTTTTAGGATGGCAGTAGTAGAACCAAGTAGTCCTGAGCAGTTGTCCAGGTCACATACCTATAGCTGTGAGCATTGCAGAGCCCTCAGAGCACATAAGAGGCTAGCCAGCCCTGCTGGCTCTTCTCGTGTTACTTAGTGCCATCAAAGCCAAAGGCCTGAGTCTGCTTCAGGAGCTGTCCAGACAGAGGGAGTCCCTAGAGATGTGCGCTTGCCCTGAATGCCCCAGTACATGCCTTGTGCCAGCATGTCTACAACACTGGGCCTCTGCTTCCTCCTCCTCCTGCTGTATGGACCACCTGAGGTGATGGTAGAGGAGCTTTCTAGAGCCTCTGAGATGAGCCCAAATGTAGAGGCCCCATTGTCAGGTGTAGCAGAATTCTAAGGGACATTCTGGAAAGAAACTGCTATTTAGGACAGAGGGAGCTGGTCAGATGAGCTGGTCCTGGAACAAAACACTAGTATATGGGGAAAAAAGGGTTTCAGAGGGATGTGACCTCCCACTGTCACCTTATAAGCTCAGCTCATATGGCTACTGCTAAGTTGGGCTTAGCGACCTGAAGTCTACAGCAAGAATTGACTCAGGAATTTATTTTTCTCAATTTTGGCAGAATTCTGGAACCAGCCACAATACTTAGTGACTGTGTTTGTTAACTGAAGGGGAGAAGGAGTGTTCTCCTCCTCCAGTGAACAGTGCTATATGTGTGTCTGGCTGAGCTGAGGACCCCATACAAATAGGACAGGAGAGACAGAGACCAAGGGACACAGCACCTTCCAGGAGGGCATAAGCTCTGTCTGGTTCATCTAATTCATGCTGTAGCTCTGATTCATCTTGCAATTGTGGCTGTGGCTTTGACCTTGAAGAAGTTTTCAGGACAGAGGCTAGTGTAGTAGAGAGGATGTGGGGTTGTTGTCACAACTGGGCTCCAGCAGACCCTGGCTAGTGGCTCTGAGCAAAATGTGAAGCATCCATCTCCTCCTCATTTGTGCAAGTTGGGATATAAATGTCTATTACCATGTGGTTGCTGTTTGAGCCACTCACCTGGTAAGTTCCAGACCCAGCCTCATGCTCAGGGTGCCCTCAGCCTTCCTCTCTGTCCATGCAGTCTCTCCACTCCACTCCCATCTCATTGTCTTTCTGTGTCTGCCTGTTGCTTCTGCCCTCCATCCCTGAGCCTCTCTCTCCCCCTGCTTCTGACTCAAAGAGTAGGTCAAGTAGGTCACACGAGAGGCATAGGACAGCCATAAATCTTGTCAACTAGTCTCTTTGCTGCACTTCAGCTTTACACATGTGATAGTGATAGATAGTGATAATATTACTGCCCCAATATGACAAAAATGAACACGTTTTAGGAAAAATTACAAATGCAGCAGTGAAAATGGGGTCATTAGGCAGAGGGTCAATTGGCTGCATAACAGTGTCCAGAAAGTGGCACTGTTGCCTCTGATATCTCATTAGGGTGAACCAGTGTGGAGGAAGTGGGTGGAAGAATAGGGCAGTGAATTGAGAGCCAGAGCACACTATTGAGACACTCTTAGCATGTTCCTTCCAAGCACATTTGTCCACATCAGTTTGTTCTGAGCCACAGGCTGTTTGAGCCCTCCCAGAGTAGCAGAGACCAGAGGCTCTCTGGTCTTGTGCCCAGGGGACTTGCTGCCACAAGAGACTCAAGACAAGAGGCTATCAGGTCCCTGTCACAGGTCAGTGACAACTGTGAGAGACAGGCACTGTAGTGTTCCCAGGAGCAGGAAAGATCAGAACTAGGGTATCAGGAAAGGAACAGAGAGGTTGACACTACAGCTGGGTCCCAGAAAGTAGACTTGGGCTGTGAAGCTAGGAGTGGGGTAGCTCAGGCAGTCACTTGAAGGTTGAGAGCAGGGAATAATATCCTTGAGGGAATTTAGATGGAGCTGGGCAGCTGAGCAGGGGCATAGCAAGGGCAGATGCTAGAATTGTGTGGGCCCCAGGATAGGACCCGGTGTGTCTTTCACCAAGAGCTAGGGTCTCTCCCCTTGCATGTGGGGAGGCCAGGGATGGCACAATGACTAACTCTCCATGTTCACTTGTAAATATCTACACTAACGTTTATACCCGCACCTGCATACCCACACCCATGGCCTTATACAGACATGTTCACTCACTCCCATCATGTGGGCTGCCCTGTGGCAGCTCATCTCCATTCCCTCCCCCTCACCCACCCATGGAAAGAAAGGCCTGTAGGGAGGGATGGGCAGGGCATGGGGCTGAGGAACCATCAGGCCCAAGTCTCACATGCACAAAAGGCCACAGATTAGACATTTGATTTTATTTCCAAGTAAAATTTTGATGCAGCCATAGAAATACACCATCAGAACTTAAAAGATATCCATCACCCATCTTTATGATTGAGCAACTTTGTCCACCAGGAATTAGTATTTTCTATAACTCCAGTAATTAAACTGTTTTATGTCATTTTTATGTTAAAGGTGTTCGTTGTGTCTATGTAAACATTTAACACAAATCCTTTTTTTAAAATTAAATATACTGGGAACTTCCACCAGTGGGAATAGGCCTTCTATAGGCTCTGCTCTGGCCTGTGGTCAGAAGGGCCATGGAGTGGAATCCTCACCACTTCAAGACTCTTCCTCACTCCATCCCATTCCATGTGTGCCTCAAGAGTCAGGGGGATGAAATTCAGAGGAAACAGAAATTTTGTCCTCTCTTGGGGTCAGTGAGGGCTGACCAGGACCCAAGCCCAGGACAGGGCCTAGATGAACACTACTCAACAAAGCCAGAGGTGCAGGCAGAGCTGGCGATGGCCAATAAGGACCTGAGTGCTGCTCAGACCCCTGTCTCCTGAGGAGTCCCTATGTATGAAAACCCATAGTGTGTTATTCTGGTAAGCTGGTTATGCTGAGTAAATAACTGCAGAGATGCAGGTCATAGGCCACCCCAGCCCTCAGAATAAGCTGTGTCTGTCTCTCCCAAACCATCACATAGTTTGAGTCCACAGGCGGCCAGTGGCTCTGTCTGGACTGTTGCCCATATTAGCACTGTGCCAGAGGGTCAAAGTAGCTCCAGCATAGTGCATGCCAGACTGTGGTCCTGCAATCTCTCCATCGTGCAGCTGGTTTGGGGGGTAGTTTTTCAGTGACTCTAGGGTGATCTTAGAAAGAATTTGGCCAAGGAATTAGCACAGTCACTGAGCAGTTGGAATATGCCCTGGTTGTAACAGGCAGCCCAGTCATATTGGTGAGTACTGGCCGGTCTCATTCCAGTGCCCTACACTCCCAACCTCCCAACATCTAATTGATCTTTAGCTACAAGGTGACCTGCTAAACTGCAATGAGGCACTTGGAAAGGTCTTGGGCTATGGAGACAGACAGACCTATGGAAACCTATGAGATGGAATTAGGTGATTGACTGGTGCTACTTGACCTGAGTTTTGGGTTCTGCATATATAAGTTAGGGGTCTTAATGGCCATCTCACTGGGTTGCAGGAATATGTCAAATGATTGGTGTGGAGCACATAGCCCATTTCTTTTCTCCACACTTCCTGAGCTTATTGGAATAAGCCCCATCCCCTTCAATTCCTTTAATTTCTATAAATGTCTACACATCACCTATCTATCTATACTCCTCTGGCTCACCTCTGATCAGTGTTCTGCTGATTCTGGATTATTTTTTCTCTTGTCCCACTTTCATCATCTCCCTTTCCACTCCAATAACCCTTTCAGGCTTCCCTCCTCTCCAGATCCTTACCTCCCCTTGCCACCATCTTCCCCTGCAGTTAAGCCCAGAAATGTGCTTGGGGTGGGCCATGAAAGGGAGAGCAAGCATTTACCTTGAAGATGTGACAGCTTTTTTTTCATCTCCAGGTTGGTATACAGATGGATTTAGTCCCTGTCATGCCCAGGGGTATGCAGGACATCTCAATATGAATTCCCCAAGCTGGCCTCCCCTCCACACACAGGTGGCACTACCTGCACCCACACTCTGCCACGCTCATCCCTTCATAGTGGTACTTGAGGGTGGGGACCCCCATGTCATCCTTATAGAGGATGGAGATAGGGCTGAGTTTGGTGGGCACACAGCAGGCCTTGCCCACCTTCATGGGGAACTTGAGATGCACCAGTGTCTGTACAATGGCATGTTTTGTCGGGGTCACATCATCAGCCAGGGGGAAGAAGCAGCCACCTTTGCACTCATAGGCATCATACTCCTTGGGTGCAATGATCCAGGTGTCCCAGCCAATGTCTTCGAAGTTCACCCTCAGGGATGTTTTCTGACAATGGTTGTTGGTCCCAGCACTCCTCTTCCGTCTGGCTAAAGATGACCCCATGGTCATGTGGCTTTCCACATCCTCCTCGCCATCCTTGTTCTTACCTGCCTCTGCTGGGCCATTGTTGGACAATTTCTTCAGCATGCTCTCCTGCTCATGGCTGATCATCTCCTTGAGCTCCAGCCTGGTCTCTCTGGTTCCATTGCTGCGGTCATTGGAGAAGACAACAAAGAAAGGAAGGTTTTTGGAGCCTGGGAGAACACTGATGTCCAGCTTGTCACAGCCTTTTCTGTGACTCACCACAGTCACTTCCAGTTTATTTTTGCTCTTGGTGGAATCTGCCCTGACCCACCGCTTTACAGCACTGGAGACCTCAAACTTCTCCCAGCCTTCATCCCAAATGTCCTGGGACACTAGGAAGGTCTTAGTTCCTGCAGAAGCATCCCATGTGTCTGCTTCATCCAGAACATCATAAATGACCATGTTTCCTTTCAGCTCATGAGAAGAGTCCTTGTGACTTTGGCAGGAGATGTAGAGTCGGAGCTCTGCCCTGGTAATTTGCTCATGCCTGGGAATGGAGATGTTGAAAAGCAAGATGTGTTTCTGGAAGGGGAATTCTTCTGTGGCAGACATAGAGACAGCATCTGAAATGCAAATACACAGGGATGGGCATCTGCTGGGAAGGTCTGGTTTCATGATAACAAAGCTGAGACTCATGGCTTGGATGAGAGGGTATCTGGGATGACATTGTCAGATCTCTATTTGGTTTCGCTTAAGCCCTTAATGTAGAAGTTTTTTGAAAGGTACATTTAAGATATTCCTAAGAAAAACAGATGCAGGAGATGCCTTGCACTGGAGTGAACAGGTCCAGGTATTTATTGAGCACTTACCTCATGCCCAGCATTGCACTAGGGACTTTATATTCTATATTTCACTTGACTCTTCACACTGACCCTGGGAGGATCTAATTATAATTTCACTTTTACAGATGTAAAGAATGGGCTTAGGGTACTTAACTTCCAAAGTACAGCCCTGACTGGTGTGGCTCAGTGGTTTAGGAGTTGTCCTGCAAACCAAAAGGTCACTGGTTCAATCCCAGTCTGAGCACATGCCTAGTCCCTGGTTGGGAGCATGTGAGAGGCAATTGATTGACATTTCTCTTGCACATTGATGCTTCTCTCCCTCTTTCTAAAAATAAATAAATAAATAATTTTTAAAAAACCTTCCAGAATATAAATAGTCTGTGAATTTGCTCACTTAAAAAAAAATAAAACTGTCCTCTTCTGAGTGCTGATCTTGAGTGTGTTTTTAAAGGAGAGATCCTGGGAGGGAAGGTGAAATTCTAACATTAATACAATATAAAAAATATCAGCATCTAAATGGTGTGAAAATCATTTGTAATTGTAACTTCAGAGCAAAGTGAAAGTGAATGATTTTTTAAATGCTTAAGGAAAAAATATTAACTTCAACTATTTTATTATGTCAGGCAAAAATGGGACATGTATTTTAGCTACTCGTTGTAGCTAAAATACATACTCGTCTCAGCTTCCCACTTCTCTTGCCTGACACATGACCATTAGTATGCCTATACAAGGGGAGACCTAAACACCTGGAATTTATTAATAGGAAAATGTGTATTCTTACATGTTCAAACTTGAGTCACCTTCAAAGTACTCTCCATTTGATGCAGTACGTCTATCGAGACTTTTTTTCCACTGCTCAAAACAGTGTTTGAACTCATCCATTTTGATGTCTTTCAGTGCTTCTGCTGTTTTTTGTTTCACCTCTTCCACACCAGTAAAACATTTCCTTTTAAGGACTTTTTTTATCCAGGGGAAAAAACGTCGCTTGGGGTCAGACCAGGTGAACAGGGAGGATGTGGAATGGGGGTCATGCTGTTTTGGTCAAAAACTGCTGAACACTCAGCACAGTATGGGCCGGTGTGCTCATAAATCACCCATCATGAGACAGGCAAATTCGTTGAAACAGCCTTCAAAACAATTCACTGAAACTGAACATAGCCTCTCACAACAATGCTAACTGGTACACTGATATAGATAGGTTCCTAGAACATCCATTTAGTGGGGGAAACCCGCCTTCCAGAAGATAATTCCAGGTTTTTCTGGGTCTCCCCTCATATTATACCATGGCTCAGTCACAGAGAGAGAAGAAAAATTGCATTTTGTGAGCACTTATTATGTACCAGCTGAAGGGAATCTGTGTGCTGTCATGAAAACCAGCAGCATTTGGTGTCTGACAGACCAAAGTGCCAATCCTGACTATGCCCCTTCCTAGGCTTAAGGCTTTGGAGAAGTCCTGAGTCTCTCTGTGCCTTAGTTTCCTCATCTATAGAATGAGATTCATTTTTCTTGCCTTTTGGGATTGGTATGAGACTTCAACAAGATGGTGCATATAACTTACACAACATTGTTGCTGGTTCATACTAGATGCTTAATCAATATTTCTGTGTCCCCTCCAGACCCTCCTCCCGACCAGTGCATGCCCTGCCCCCAAAGCCTTTCACACAGTTTTCTGTGGTCCTCTCACAGCTATTCCAGTCCCTGCTGAAGGTGCTAAGATGCCTTGGCATATCTAAGTAATGAGAGGTCAATGAATAGTGCATTAATCACCTATTGTGCTCTTATCATGGCATGCCTTGATAATGGCTATGGGACTGCAGTGAGACATCTTGAAAGCACACACCCTCCCTCCTGGAACCACATTCAAACTGTCTGTGAAGTCTGTGAAGGGAAGCATCCCTGGCCTAGCCATATGCAGAGCTGGGATCTAGGCCATGGACAATGTTGAAGCATAGGGGAAGAAGTGTCATTGAGATCAATTTAAACGCTGGACTCCCAGACTGTGGGGTTTGATAATGAAGTCCATCCAAAGAAGCCCTAAAGCAGAGGTTACAGACACGCCCCGTGGGCCTGGCGAGATGCTGACAGATTGTATTTTAAGAAAATAATAAAGCCAGTGTTTTAAAAATCAGGCAAGTTCACATAAAATCTAGACTTGTTCTTCTTCTTTTGAGGAACCAGAAAATCTGACACCATTGGACATGCACTGGGCCCATGGCGCCCATTACAGAGGGCCTACACTCTGTGGGTCTGGTCCCCTGTGGCACTGAGCAAGGACTCTTAGGAGTTCAGGGGCTCCATCTCTGTGCCACTCACTGACTGTGTGGAGGGAGACTGCAGCAGCAGGAAATGCCTGAGCTATGCAGATAGCCACTGGGCCCAGGGCAGAATCTAGAAGCTTAACTAATTAATTACTAGGTACCTGGGAACATTCTCTCAGCATCTGCAAGCAGTGTTTCCCTGCTCATGTAATCATTTTACTTACACTGTGTGAACTAGTGAACATAATAAGCCCTAAATCAGCGTTTGCAATTTTCTAATCCTCCTAAATCAGGGAAATTATCTTGTATTTAGAAAATAATTAAGTATTCCTCCAACGTTTATTTCTCAGAGTAATTTATCTGAATTTTTGACACCTTTTCATGAGAGAAACATTCTCTCAAAGTTTAAAAATATACCAGTGGTTAGAGGCTAAATCAGCTGGCTATCTTGAAGTAGGAAGGGGACAGTAAGGAAAGAGGGAGAAAGGGGAGAGATGGAGGAGAGGGAGCTGGCATTTCCACAGCTCCCACTGAAGTAAATGTGGCACTGGGCCTGGGGAAGGAGAGTCTTCCGGAACATAGCTGTCCAACAGAACCCTCTGAAATGATGGAAATGCTCTATTATCTGGCTATAGAGTAGCCATTAGCCACACATTACTGTCAGGCAAATTGAAGTTAGTGAAACTAAAGAACTAATTACTAATTATATTTCATTGTAAGTAATTTAAATTGAAGAGCCTCATGTGGCCGGTGGCTACCATAGTGGGCAGTGCAGTTCTGGACCATGGAGTCCCACACTCCCCACCCCCAACCTCCCAACCCTCAGGCACCCTGGTGGAGCTGACTCTACCTTCCACGCTGAAGCTGCGCACGATGTTCGATGTGGGGATGGACGACTTATCAGTGGTGTATCTGTTGTACAGGTCGATCATGTACTGCGGCAACTCCGCTTGGGTTTTGTCCTGGGAAGGGACCCCACTCAAGTTGAGGCTGCGCAGGAAATCCACCTTCATGTTCTCCAGAAACATCCTCAGGTCGAAGGTGCCTCCCACCTGCTCACCTCCAACACCCCTTAGCAGTCTGTGAGCATCTGCCCTGGTCAATGTCGGGACCCGGCTCTCCAGAGGCTTCCCCTGCCCAGAGCAGACCAGCAGGGACAGCACAGGCAGGGCCACCAACAGGGCCCCGTGGCACATCTTGGGACAGCACAGACCCCCTGCACAGGAGACTGCCAGCGGCCACCTTGTGTTAGCGGGTATGGGGAAGATCCCAGGAGGAGCAGGCCTGCATTGTACTGCTGACCACTCTTCATCAAGCACCCTGGCCAGTTCCCAGGCTCCAACCCATCGTCCCAGAGTGTCCTCCACTTGTTCTTATCTGGCCCTCAATGCTGTGCTCCAACTTCTTATCTAAGGGAACTCTCCATTAATGAAGATTCTATAAACATCTGACAAACACACAGGGCTTATGGAAAGAGCACGGCCTGCTGCAAAGAACCCAAATTTCTCCGTGGGGTTATCACCCCTTAATTAGTATCTTTTCTCATTTCCTTCCTAGCTCTGTCCAAAAGAATCTCAAGACAGAGTGACATATACTCCATCTTCAGGCCACAGAAACAAAGAATCCAGGAAACAAACAAGACCAAAAAGTCTTCCAAATATAGAAGCAACACAGAACTCCCAAAAGTCCCTGCTGATTTCAGGCTGGAGTGGGTGGTGGTGTGCAGACCGTACCAGGAGTCCTGTGGACTCAGAATCTTCATGTGTGGCTCAGGCACTCCATGCCTGGGCTTCTCATCTGTCAAGCCAGTTCCTGAACACTAGAGATCACACATGAATGGGGCACATATAATTCAGTGATATGATGAAGACTTTGGAGTCAGATGAGATGAGGGTTCAAATCCCATTTCCCTCATTTATTCCTCATAGGTGGGACATGGAGCAAGTGACTTCACAGTTTTTAGCTTCCAGTTCAGAAGAGAGTTGTAAGGATTTAGATGAGTGAGTGCTAAATGTTATGACAGTCACTGTGCTGAGTGTCAAGGCAGTCACTGCAAACCCTGGTCAGTGGTGTGGCTGCTTTCTGCTAGTCACTTCTTCGTCCCACATCTGACTACAGTGGGATTTGAGCAGGAAACCCTGTGCTTCCCAGCCTGCTCTTTAGGAACATCACATATGCACTGAGCCTGCCACCAGGGACCCCAGAAGAGCTCCGTCACTGGTCTTATAGGGGGTCTTTGCTCCTGTCGGAGGGGTGGCTGCCTGGACCACATTCCTCAGTCAGGAGAACCACTCTGGGGAGACAAGAGAAAACAAGTGGAAGAGATCCACTCAGAGTGGATCTCTGAGTTTGTGCCCCTGGCCTGAGAAAGCTAACAAGCCACAGCTCAACAGCTTTGGTGAGATGCCAGGGTGTCTGTTATTTTTAAAGCCTCATGCCCACACTTAAGCTCTGTCCATTTTATCATGCGTGGGTTTAAACAAGGCAAGGAATGAGCATAGTTAAAATACTCTGGGGTTCTACTCTGAGGAAGATTTGAAAGTGAAGTTTTTCACCCTGGCTGGCGTAGCTCAGTGAATTGAGCGTGGGCTGAGAACCAAAGTGTTGCAGGTTTGATTCCCAGTCAGGGTACATGCCTGGGTTGCAGCCCATGACCCCCAGCAACTGCACATTGATGTTTCTCTCTCTCTCTCTCTCTAAAAATAAATAAAATCTTTAAAAAAAAAGAAAGTGAAGTTTTTCCAAGCTGGTGTGCTCCTGGGGAGAATGGCAGTGTGCTGAGCAGGTCCTGGGAGATGTAGGAGGGGCCATGATAGCCTAGGGTCAGAGACCCCAGAGCACACCCAGCTTTTCTCCCATCCCTCATGGGGGCAGGGGAAACCAGGAGCCCCTGAGTGGCCAGGCCTGAAAAGAATTTACTATCCCTATCCTTTGTGGACACTGCCAGGGGATTATGGATGGAAAGGATATAGCTTCAGACGTACAGGTTAGAAAAGGGGTAAGAAGCATCCTGGGCATTGAGTCAGCTCAAGGCACAACTTGTCCACTGATGGAGGAGTGCAAAGCCAGGGAAGTGGAGTGGGCTGGGAGAAGCTGGAGGCAGGACCCTGCTGCCAAGCCCCAGGCCCTGGTGGCAGCTCAGAAATCTGTTACATTGGAGGAGGAGCCAAGGGATACATGCGGTGCCCCGAATGTGCTCAGGGAAGCTCAAGGGACTACTGCCTGATGTTTTCTTTAGAACATGACAGATTTTCTCTTCTGATTATAACAGTAGTATATAGCGCAGTAACTGGAAAAATGCTAAACATTTTAAAGAAGGAAATAAAAATAAACTACAATCTCGTCTAGTGATGCCCTCAGTTAACGTTTTGAGATACATACAGCTCCATGGTCTCCTATTTAAAACCCTTGTGTCCAAGAGTGTTTTCTGATTCAGAAAACTTAAGATCTGAGGAATTTGGTATGGCATATATACTGTAATAGCTCCAATGGCATTGAGGATAGTGCCCTATAATCAAACACATTAATATTTCTGCAGTGAAACAAATAAATCACATATCCATTCAAGTCAAGTTTGGACATGAAAAGAATTAAAAGTTTAGGTTTTCTGATAGTTCAGGTTTGAGGATCTTAGATAAGGGATGGTGGATTTGTTTACATGTAGAATCACCACATACAGCTGCAGAGGCTACACATCAATAAAGCTCAGAGTCACCAGTCACAGAGACTGCGATGTGGATGGTGCCCCCAGCACTGTGCAATGCAACAGGATTGTGAATTCCTAGAATTATCTGCCCCACAAACTCAGAGTATCACTATGTCTATATCTCATGTTGTTTTTAAATAATTGTGTGAGGCTTTCTGATCCTTATTACGGGAAAGTGAAGTTTTTCCCCTTTAAGGGTGTCTGTTTTCTGAATTGTCCAAGTGCACTATAGGTTTATTTAGTCCAAAGGAGATAGAGGTGAGATGATACCAGTCCAGCTTCTTAATGCTGGAAAAGGGGAGCAGGTCCTACCTGCTATTGCTTCCCCATGACCCCTGGCTTTGCTATTGGGCATGGGCTGAACACATCTCACAGCTGTTTGCACACAGCTGTGTGGAGAGAAGGACCAATAAAATGGCACTGGGCTAGTCAAGATAGCATAAAGTGTATAAAACAGAATGGAGTCACTTGTGTCAACCAAGATGGCTGGACTGGGGACTTCATCTGCCCAGTGCCTACCTGGATCCAGACATCGTTCTTCGCAAGATACTGACAACTCCCTTGCCCACTGTGCTATCTCCCAAACCTGCAGACTGAGGCTCGGGGATTCAAGTTCATTATCTCACATTGATTGTTCTCTGTGTGTGTGTGTGCGTAGGTATGTGTTATATTTCTCGTAGATTATTAAGAGTGTGAGTAGGATATTAATGTATGTTGATGTTCTATTTTGAGTGAACCTGCATTCAATAAAAGCTGAGTGAATAGCATAGTTACTGTGTGTGACTATTATCTATTCTTTGGTGCCAGGCTGCTCAAGAGGCAGCTAGCCGTGCAGTCACCTGATAGACTTACAGGAAAGACTACATCATGAACAAATGCTCATGACAAGCTACTGGGATTACCTGGCCAGTCCAGCCTTCTGCCCAGGACTCTGTGAGTATCCCACTTTGTGCACCAAGGTAACAACTTTCTTACCATTCTCCAGAAGGCACATCCTTATAGCAGGTGGCTGGGAGGAGAGAAGAGTCCAGCTGTGGTCACATCCTGATCCCATTCTACCTTCTCATCATAAAACTCTAGGTTCTTATGGGGAACCTGGGTCACCAGTTCACTTTCCTCAGGGTAGTGTGATTTCAGAGACCTTGATACCTTTCTGTATAGATGTGCATTGGTTCATCCGGACAGATCCCCTTAATTCTGGCTTTTAAGGAACAAGGTTTGGTACTTGTTCTGTGTTTCCCAGAAAAAGTGGGGGTCCTTATACAAAGGGCCAATCCCTCTTCTGCCAGCAGCCTTCTATTGCTGGGGCCTCATGGAGGAGCTGCCTTATTTGAGCCATAAAATATCATTCATCTCCCTTCTCTTTCCCCAAACTGTGTACTATATGACTGAGTAATTCCATTTCTCTGTACATCCCCAAAATAATAGAAAGCAGGATTTTGAAGAAGTATTTGCATACCCACATTCATAGCAGCACTATTTACAATAGCCAAAAGGGTAGAAACAACCTTAGTGTCCACTGATCAATGAATGGATAAGAAAATTGAATAGAAGCACACAATGGAATATAATTCAGCATTTTAAAGAAGGAATTCTGACATGTTCCACAACATAGATCAACCTTGAAAACATGCAAAATGAAATAAGCCAGTCACAAAAGGACAAATATTGTATGATTCCACTTATATGAGGTAACTTGAATAGTCAAAAGCACACAATAGTGGTTGAGAGGGGCTTATGGGAAGGAGGAATGGGGAGTTATTGATTAATAGGCACAGATTGATTAATCTGGTTTTGCAAGGTGAAAAAAGAGTTTTGGAAATAGATGATGGTGATGATTGCACAGCAATCTGAATCTTAAGTGTAAAGAACTGTACACTTAAAAATGGTGAATTTTATGTTATGTATATTTTGCCATAGTTAAAAAGTATTAAAGTGTGCCATATAGAACCCTTTTTGTTGCAGGTTGCAAAGAAGAATCCTAATAGGCTTAAGAAAAATGGATTATGTATGGCTAACAAATGAAAGCTGAAAAGTTCAGCAAAAGTTTGGCTTTAGCACAGCCTGGTCCAGAGTACCAGCAAAGTTGTAGTGATATTTTCTCCACTCTCAGAACTTCCTTCTACTATGTGGTTTTCATGCTCCATCTATGTCTTGGAAAGAAGGCTGCAGCAGGTCATAAACCAGTGGGGGAGCCTCTTTTCCAGGAAGTCTCAGTTATTCTCATGGTGGCTCCTCTTCTTCATTGGGTTGTCTGCTCACACCCCAGCCAATCACTGGGCTCAGGGAAATGCAATGCCTTGGTTGGCATAGGTGGGGTTGACATCACTGGCAGCAAGGAATGAGTCTCATTGGGATGAGTCCTCAGAGGGGTCTAGATCTGGTGGCCAGGAGGAGATACCACTGAAAGGCTATATAAGTATGTTCCCATGCCATGAAAAAATTTTCATATACTTCATTTTTAATGGTTTAACAATACCCAACCATGTGGATATATCCTAATGTATTCAACACTCTCCAACTACAATGAGATTGGATTATCTATTAAGATAATGTTTCAAGGCATGTTATTATAGTCTATACTTTATATTATTTTTTGAAAGATTTTG